GGCCCCAACGGGGACTGGCTTCTGGGGCCCGCCCCTCTCTGATCCCGGAGCTGGAGAGTCGGGACTCTGAGATGGGCGTTTCTGACCCGGCCCGGAACAGGGGAGGCGGGTGTTGACAGAGTTGAAGAAAGGGACCGCACCCCGCTGGATGCCGCTACGGTCTCCCGAGCTGCCCTTCTCGCCGCTGCCCCCCGCTCCAGTCTGGAAACCCAGAGGGAGCTGCTTGGATCCAGTCCAAGGCAGCAGCGTCGAACGGGGGACAAGGTGGAGGCACCCACAGGGCGGGAGCAGGGCCGCCTGGAGACGCCCCTCGATGCCTGCCCCACCTGCTCCTCTTCTGACTCGGAACCCGAAGGCTTTTTCTTAGGCCAGCGTCTTCCCGGGCCCTGGAAGACCCCCAGAAGCCTCCAAGCTGGGGACAGCGACACCTCCAGGAAGCACTGCACCATTTGCTAGTGGCGCAGCCCGGAGACGGGGGAGGGGGTGTGTGATCTTTGAGGTGGGAGAACGAGGCTCTCCTCCCCCTATAAAAATCCTAGACTGAACGCAGTCAAGGGCACGCCTGGGAGAGGCGGCGAGACCACAAACTTGGAGTGCTCCCTCTTAAGCCTGCGTATTCTATGACTTCTGATGGAGACTTTCTTGGGGAACCCCACCCCCCAAAGCTACGCATCCCCTGCTGAGCTAACCCCTATCCCCACCCCCGCAGGCTGGGACAGCCCCATCCTCATCATCTTCCTGAGCCAATGAAGTGATCATTCAGAGACCACGTGTGGCAGTGACAGGTTGGCCAGCTGAAGGCCAAGAGGGAGCCAGAGGCGGGACGCGTCCAGGCGACTGTAGTGCCAGGCCGCGCTCCTCCCCTTGAGGAGCTCGGGGACGCGCAGCCCGGGAGTTCTCCCACCCGGACGCCCGACCTCTCTGGAGCAGCTGCGCCCCCTGCCGGTCCGTAGCCGGCGGAAGTGCGAGACCGGAAGTTCCGTATTCTCCGGCGCCGACACCGTGCGTCGGGCGAGGCCTTGTGGATCCCGAGGGTACTACTATGGCTTCCAGTGGGGTCGGTGTGAGCGCCCCGGGCGCGGCGAATGAAGCTTCCGAAATTCCGGACAACGTGGGAGATTGGCTTCGGGGCGTCTACCGCTTCGCCACCGACAGGAACGATTTCCGGAGGTAACCGAAGCCCGGGAACTTGTCCCTTTCTGGCCCTCCGCTCCCCTATACACACCTCCCGTACTTCCCATCTTCGCCCAACCTGGCGCCTGTACATTTGCCAGCGTTTTGGCCTCGCAGTGACTCTGGCTGTGCTTTGGAGAGGTCCTTGACGGGGAGAGTTCCCGTGCGGCAAAAGCGATCTTTTCAGTTACTGGGCTGTCTACAGAATCTCACCCTGACCAGGGGGACCCGGGAAGAAGAGGCGCCAGCGCACAGGCTTTTCAGCCCTGGGCGAGTGTTTAATTGGCTTTTGCATTTGATCCCGTTAGACACAGGAACGACTGCCAAGCAAGTAACCACGTGGGTCGTGGGTCGTGGGCAACCTGCCTTCGTAAAGATCTACCTTCCTGCAGTTCTAGAAGTCTTTGTGCCCCCGGGAGGTTTTTCCAGGGTGGTTATGGTAAACCTTTACTCGTGGTATGTTTCATTAAAGACAAGTGACTCAGCACAAGGTTAATCAAATATTCTTTTTCCAGGAACTTGATCCTCAATTTGGGACTTTTTGCTGCAGGCGTTTGGCTGGCCAGGAATTTGAGTGACATTGATCTAATGGCCCCTCAGCCAGGGGTATAGCCAAATAGGTAAGCACTTAACTACTGTTCTGCCTGTCTAGGAGCCCTAAAGGCAGAGAGAAGCAATAATTTTTATCTTCTGTTTATAAAATGAAGGAGAGAGACTTGACATAAGGCCCTTGGCTACTCCTAGTTAAATATGTTTACAGACATTGCAAGAAATTTTGAGTCTCTTCCTAATTTCCCTTCAGGCTTTTACATTTCTAATGCCACCCGTTGTCCTGTCGTCTGATTGCAGACACATGGAACCCCCTGTGCTGTACTCGAACCTTCCAAAAACAGCCTCCAATCTTTGACCATCACAAGACTTTCCCTGATGGAAGTTGAAGTTTCATTCAGACGGGCACCTTCCCTTCCCGATTGCCTTTGCTTCGTTGAGCCCACTCAGAACTCCATTCTCTGGTCAGCAGTCAGGCTTCAGCCAAAGTGTTGTCCTCTGTTCTATAAAGTTCTGTACATAGGTCCAAAGTTTCTGCAGGGGGTGATTTTTGCTCTTGTCCTGAGGAATAACCTAATGGTATTTTAACAAATATTTGGAATAAAGACTGCACGCAAAGACAAATCATTTTATTCTTTTAATAAGAAACTTCGGCTTACAAAAACAAGGTGTAAAAAGTCAAGATTTACAAAAATCATAAAAACATGATTTATATTTCACACTCAAAAGAGACAGGAACAAGCCTCAAACATGGATTGTAACAGAGGTGGTTTGCTTCATATTGAAGAAAAAAAAAAAAAAGGAAACTGTAGCCATTGTACTTGATGTGAACATAAGAGGAAACTTATTTTTGAGGAATTTCCATTTTTGAGCAGAACTAGAGGAAGAAGCCATTTGGTGTTGCATAGCATTTTAGTGCACCAGGTGGGTTTTCCAGGCACCAAGGGGGCATTGTTGCTGTAATAGAGGGGGATTTGTTGGTAGAAAGAGGGCAGTGATGTGCAGGTGGAGTCAAGGTGTAAGCAAGCCTGGGCAGTGAGCACTAAAGAAACTGCTTGAGGAAGCTGCTTTCTTCCCAAGGAAATGTTTTCTGACCCTAAAAGTCATGGTAGTGCCACTGTCCAGGAGTTTGGAGTTCTTTGGAAATGGAATATGAAAGGAACTGGCATGGAAAAGACTCATGTAGGCTCAGAAAGATGTGGAAATAGAGACAAGTTCCCCATGGCCATTTTTTTCTACTTGATTTATTCTAGGTATTTTTATCCTTATTATTTTGTTTTATTTTTAAAGTTTATTTAAGTAGTCTGTACACCCAACATGGGGCTCAAATTCACAATCCCGAGATCAGAAGTCACATGATCTTCCAACTGAGCCAGCCAGGCACCCCATCTACTAGGCATTTTTAAAAATCCTGCTTTTCCATGCCAAGTCTCCTGTGGAACTAGTATGGGATTAAAGGACATGAATTGGAAAGGGAGGTCAGTATGAATGCACCACAGTGGCCTAATTGTTAGAGTTGACAGATGTCGAGCAATCTGTTCACAAAAGGTCAATAGGACAAAACAGTCCTTCTTGACCCTACCGGCATAAATCTCATTAAGAAATCTGATTGAGAATTAGATTGTATATGTATTTTAAAAAGCACCATTCTCTTGTATTGATTGGGTAGGTCCCACCTGTTAGGGAAGAGTTTGAGCTGTGAATTCAGGCCTGTGGCTAGCTTACCACGAAGCCCTCACTCTCTAAGAATCTATCTATACTGGGACCACAGATGATTTGATAGTTTTGTAACTTACTGGGTGTTAAGATGAGGAAGGGTCATATACATGAGAGCAAGGCTTAGGTTTGAAGCCATCACCTCCCAAATGGTGACCAGGAAGGAAACTTTTAAGCCATAGCATAGATTCTAAGCCCATTCATATCTGTATCAGACCACTAAGACAAATACCAGCACCTCCTGTCCTTCATTGATAGGAAACAGATCCTTGAAGTCGGCAACCTGATCCTACTCACAACTGAAAAGTCTATTTTAAAAGGTTTTTTAAAGTTGAAAAGAAAAATCCAGCAATGATGACATGGCAGCTTCCAAAAGCATAATTCACATTTCACTCAAAATTTAATGTTATAGCTTCATTTACTGTTAGTCAGTTTATAAAGCCATAATACTGGCATGGTAAAGTTTCATTTAAACTGGCTTCATTCCTCAAGTGTTAAGAATTTAGCAAGTAAAGCTGTCAAGTCTACAATTTCCCAAAATTTTGATGAACAGTCATTAATTTTGTAAATGAAAATGCTGGCTTTTACCATTCCAACACAACACCCTCCCCAAGGGAAGTCCATTTTACATCGGTGATGTGATATTCAGCCCTGGCTGGTTAACAGTACTATGAAAATCTCTTCTACTACCTATCTAGATTTAAATGGAAACATGCCAGCAGAAGTAAGGAAAGAGTCCACAAAAATGACCATTTGCCTTAATGCCCTAGTGGCTATGGTGTATTTAGAGCAATGTGTGGGTTGAAAGAATAAAGTAACACTTGGTTCAAGTCAAAGCCCTAGACCAAGAGAATGGTTAAAGGTGGAAGATACAAAACTAAACTCACAGTCATATTTAGAAGGCGCTTTTTAGCTTTAGTGCTGACTTGAAAAAAAGGAACCACCACCAGGGAGGTGCATACTTACCCGGTAAAAAAAAAAAAACTAAGTTGCCATGGGAGATTTTGCTCCAAAGGTACAACCTCCTCACCTAATTAGGCCAGTAATTAGGCTGAGGGAACCAGTTATCAAATGTGCTTCAAGTGGTGAGCTTTCTAAACACCCTTTGGTGAAGTCTCATGAGCTCATTGGAAACCTTAAGGTCAGAGTAAAAGGAACAGGCTATAAACAGCCCTGCAGGTGAGCAGACTGGGTCTTCTCCCCTTCCACAGCCACTCAGCACCATTCTAGTCAGCACCTGCCAGGAAAGGGGCTGGGGCGGGGGTGGCTGGGACAGGTTCTTTGAGCCTTCTCTTTTGCATATTACACAGTGCACTGGCTTGCCTTACAGTCTCAAGGTTCACATATAGGAGGTTGTGTTCTACACTGCTTCCTGAAATTTTGTGCAAAAGAACTTCAGAACTAATGAAAGTAATACCTCAGGAGGAATCATTTTTGTTTGACTTCTACCCTAAGTTGCCCAGCATTAGAAAAAAAGGCCCTTTCTGAACATTTGTGCTCTCCCAACCAGCTGGAAAGCAACCCTTCCACTTACAAGGTATAACCCGGCAAGGGTATATAGTATATGTTTAGGAAGAGGTAGCACTCCCAGCCTACCCGAAAAGGCCCGAGTTAATGTTTGGAACATAAAAGGAGTGGTGAAAACGAATAGAGGACATAGTCTGCCTTGGAAAGCAGCCATTTGATGAATAGTGACAAATCCAAAGATTTTGGACATTACAGTAAAATTTCAGAATTTGCTGGTAATAATTATCTTTTACACACATGAAATGAAATGCTTTTACAAAGTCTGATACCAACTGTCCTTTACACTGTACAGACCCATTTGCCACTTAAAATGATACGGAGGCATCCTTTCCCTTACTTAATCTTTTCAATCCCATGCAAACCATAACTGGGTACAAGGCACCAAATGTTATGAATTGTATAAAATTAGTTCACAAAGCTTTATCAATAAGTAGAACAAACTCCATTTCCCCCTCCCTGCCTGCCCACCCACATCCCACCCCCCACACCCAACCAAGTTTTCATTCTGTCCTACTGTCGACCTCTCTCAGGCTTCTGGGGCCTGGTTAGGGCCATGCCCCACTGCCAGGCCAACCCACTTCACTAGTTCTTGCACTGGGATGGAACTGGAAGCACAGCCAGAGAAGGGAACTTGTACAATCATTGACGCTAGAAGCCTTGCCATTAAAACCAAAAATAAACTCTGCTATTGAGTCCATAGGACACATTAACACTTCTACAGTTTCTAATTTTATTCATGACATTTTAAGAGACATCTGGAAATTCTTTACAGTGTGGCACTGCCCCCCTCAGCCCGAGAGGGGACTGGATCAAAGCTGGCAAGAGCTCTGCCTGCCATTTAATAAGAGCTTCAGTTCCTGGCTGTTGAGGGCATTCCTAATTTTTTTTTTTTTATTTTTTTTTTTAACACTAAGCATGGATGCTCATCTCCGAGGCAACCACAAGGATGAGGGTCAAGCTAGATTGAGGTAAAGATCCTTTTTGAGGGCCAGGGTGCATTCATCTTGGCTGGCTACAGCAGGAAGTAAACACACCAGCCAACTACAAAGGGTTCCTGGAACGGGACTCTAACTACTTGCCTGGGAGAAGCAGGCCCGTAAGGTTCAGTTAGGAGATCTTGGGTTTGATTTGGCAGCATCTAGTCAACTTCTACCTGGTTCTTATTTTCTTCTCTTTAGAATGTTTCGATTTAAAGTAAGATGCAACTAAGAAATCCATCTACTTCCAATATGCAAATAAATTAAAGGCAAAGGGACACTTCCCTCACAATAGCCATTGGCTTATGCAGCAGGGAACTCTTTAATAAAAATCTCCATAAATACTAACTTCTCAACAGCGTCTAGTGCTGCTGCCTCTGGGTACCTGAGGTGTCTGTGACTGCAGGGGCACCTTCGAGAGTTTGCAGCTCAGCGAGGACTCTAGTGGTTTCTGGTCCAACTCCCTTTAAACCATTTTATTAATTTGATATGTGGGTGCTCAGCTAAGTTAAGCACTTACTTTACAAAATCCTTAAATCTGCTTAATAATTCTTATAAATATTTGGTATAAAACTATTTTTAAAAATTAAGTTTGAAGATCTTTTAATTTTCCATTAAATGTTCATTTTTCTGAAGTATTTCCCCCTAGACAGCCTGAGGGATGAAGTAGCTGCTCTATTAGTTCTTTTCCATTTGTAAGTTCTCTTTTTCTAGAATAATAAGTACAGCATTCAAAGAAAGATGAGGCACAATTTATATTTTCCTTTCCTTCTTACTCTCTTTTTTTTTTTGAGTTAATGGCCTTTTCCATTGCCACAAAAAAGTCTTCACCAATCCTGCCAACTTAAAAAACGTGGATCTAGAGAGTATACCTTTACATCAGAGCCTCTGGCAGCAAGGGCAGCTGTGACACTTTAAAACAGTGTCCAGGAGAGGGTGAGCCCTGGGCCAAGCTTATACAAAAAAGCCTGCAGTAGACAATATAAACCAAACAGCATAAAAAATGCCATACGCTATCGCTTCCAAATAAAAGCTAAATATTACAGAAACCTCACAGTGTTGGAAAAAGCAAGTTTAATTTAAAATATATAGTCACTCCCCCTTATCAGGGTGAGCCATTTTCTGTCTGAATTTCCTCCATGTCTCAGTGCTGTCTGTCAGGTCCTACGGGAGAGTTCATCTCAAAAGAGGTCAACAGCAAATGCTACAGACCTGCTCTGGAAATGGGGCTCACCAACACCCCTAAGCTACGACCCTCATTCTTTACCCTCTCTTGTCCCAACCTCCCACCCTTCCCCAAACTCCCTCCACATCTGCTTCCTTCAAGTGACAACTGTATTCCTACCTGAATTGAAATGTTCGTATGATACACTCAGTCAAAAGATGAGCATTCATAATGACAGGTTGAGGCAGACTTCAGCAGCCCCCACGATGAGACTTCTGGTTTACGTTCACTTTTACTGGTGAGTCTAACTGAAGGATTGAGAAGGGAAATTCAGTGGTGCCTGATGGGGTGGAGGGTTTCCATCATTCCACTTAGAAACTGATCCAGTATAAAAACAAAGATGTATTTTACTAGCACTTAAGGACAGGGCACTCTTTTTTTCTCTGATGAATTGAGTGTAGTTAGATAAAGAAACAGTAGGGATTATCAGATTTAGGAGGAAATAGGCCAGGGCCAGCAGCAGTGAACTGTTCGGACCTATGGGGGCAGATTCCTTAGCCCTAGGAAAGCAGAAATTCCCAAACCTTGTGTTGAACAAAAATGTTCTAGCCCTCTAGGTGCCAGAAAGAAGCTGCAGGCTAAGAAAAGCTGCATGCTGCATGGAGGTGAGGGCAGGTGACAGGCATTCAGATACGGCCTGGACCACCGGCTATCCCTGCCTCTCTCCTCAACCGAGTTCTGAGAAAGCCTCAGACAACTGACCTAAACACCAATTTAAACCAAACCATGTGCTTGCCCTACACCTGAACCAGGGATGTGCTACAGAACTGGGTAGCCAGGAATGCCCTTAGGCTCAGCATGCAAGAAAGAACATGTCAGGGACAATGTATTGCTTCCCCATATGAACTGCTCCTTCTTTAGAATAGAGGGTTGTTCACACCAGTCTCAGAAGATGTGGAATGATTAAGTGACAGCAGCAGTAGCAGCCAGGGAGGGTTGGACACTGGAAAAATCTCCCATTCTGCATGGGGGAAATTTGCTCTATGCATCTCATTCCACTCTTCCACTGCTATCCTCTAAAAAAGGAAGTCTGCATGTTTTGAACCCCTGATGGTTACTTCCTTTGTAGGAACAAATCCTTACTATTCACCTCCTGCCCTGGAACCAATCTCATCCAGCAAGCTGCCAGCCCAGGGCCCCACCTCATGTGCTCTGTCCTGGGCTCCTCACAACAGGAGGGTTCCTCTGGCATTGCAGGAGGTCCTGATTAGTGGGGGTCACAGAATGGAAAGAAAACATGGCTGCTCTCCTCGCTGCATATGATCAATTTTCTCCCTCTTTCCTCCACCCAGATCCTCTATATTCAGAAGCAACTGATGAAAGAATCTTCATAGAAGTTACTCCTTTTGATTTATCAAAGAGGGAATTCCCAAATCCATTCAAAAGAAAGGTGACTACAGATTTTAGGATAGGATAGGAAGTCACCTGGCACCGTCTGCTGTAGTCCCAGTGAGGCAAACCTAGCAATCTGTTCCTGCGCTAAACCTTATTTCCTATAAGAGGAAAGATGTATGAACACCAACAGTTTAAAAGCAAGCCAGTCCTTGATACATGCCTCCCATTCAGGGGAAGGTCCGTGGTCTGCCCTCATCGTTGTTGCTGGGCTGCACCTGAGCTTGGAGTTGGGTTTCTGAAATTCTTGCATTGCCCTGAACTGTTCTTTGAGTGTAAAAAAGGATGTAGGCTTGAGTTTTGCACACTTCCTCGACACTGCATACATTCAGCTTTGAGTCATTGCAGTGGACCCAAAAACCTAGGAAACCAAAGGAAAGAAAGAGAGAAAATGACTATCCAACTTGTATTTCCAGTCAGCAGGCAAAACCAGGAGATGAAGAAAGGGACAGAGGAGTTCTGAATAGAGCCAACCCGATTGTTGGTGGTGGGGAAAGACAGGTAAATGAAACCAACAGACTTCCTTGCAGCCACTGGCTTTAACCCCATCAAACCCCACCACAATACTAACAATATTGACTGACTGTAATTTTTGTCCTCCTTTTATTCAGGCTTTTCCATTGTCCGTTAGGGCCTCTACAAAAACAGACTGAAGACTAGGGGCTAAGAGATGGGAAGAGGAGGAGGAGGAGAAGTGAAATGCAAATGGAGGAGCGATAAAAGGAAAATTTAGAAGCAATAAAAAGTTATTTTACTCTGGCTGCCTCAAGGGCTAAGGTGTTCATTACTGAAAACACATCCGCAGCCCATGTGCCTCAGTACAATACCTGGGAGACTGTGCTCTGGGTACGAGGACTGAAAGCTCCTTGGGAGAGCCCTTGTATCCCCACACCTCCCATGGTAAGGATATAGTAAGCACTCTTTAAATGTCTTCAGCTTTATTATGAGCTGGGGCTAATGAGATTCATACATTATATCCATGAGGTTAGGTAAGCCATAGCATTTCTGCATAACCACGAAGGAAACAGGTCTGCAGAAGCATTAATAATAGAATGTCCAGGGGCGTCTGGGTGGCTCAGTCGATTAAGCATCCGACTTTGGCTCAGGTCATGATCTCACAGTTTGTGAGTTCGAGCCCTGTGTCAGGCTCTGTGCTGACAGCTCAGAGCCTGGAACCTGCTTTGAATTCTGTGTCTCGCTCTCTCTCTCTCTCTCAAAAATAAATAAACATTAAAAATAATTTTTAAAAAAATAATAGAACATCTAACATTAATTGAGCATTATGTGCTAGGGACCATGCTAAGTACTTTTACATGTGTCAGTTCCTGTCAATTCTTAGGGCAATCTTATGTTGTCACTTGGTGATATATCCAAAATTTGAATCCAACTTTCGTAATTTTTTCCACTGGATTTTAATGTATGCAGTATCCCTCTAAAGATGAAATAAAAGGAAAGTGATGGAATGTGGACAAACCAACCCTCTTCCGTGTCCCCCACCCCACAGAGTAAAGCGCACGCACCTCCCTCTGTGTTGTAGCAATAGGCTGTGTAGTGTCCTGAGCCAAACCCTTTCCCGTGATGCATGACCACTGCGGAGAGATCATAGGCAAAGGTCTCTTTGTCAAGAGAGGAGAGCATGTCCCTGCAGCAGTAAGGTTCCATGTTTAATACCTGGTCAAAGACGACATGGACCCCAATCTTCTCTCGATGATTACGGCCAGACCACCTAAAACATAGACATAAATTTCTTACTAGTAAAAAATAGCATATGCTATCATAGGCAGAGGAAGGTAAAACAAGAGAAATGAGAAAACTTAACCTTCCAGATTTGGTTTTTGCATCAATAAAACAGTGATCAGTATCCACATATATTTCCTGTGAATGTTCCATGATGTACTCTGAAACTAGAAATCCCTAAAATAACCTTGTTGTAGTTTACTGCCTGCCTTTTTTTTTCAGATTATATCACGCTAGATTCTGAAGATGACTCTATGTAAGCCCAAGGGAGGCTAGAAAATCTTTAAGCATGGACACCCAGTGCAGGCTAGCTGGTTAAGCAGGGCTGTAAGGGCTAAAGTCCTGTCCCCGGTTCCAACATTTAATCGCCACAGAAAAGTGCAAGGTCTCTAGGGAACAGGCTTCCCCTCCCAATACCAAAGCCTTTGAAGCAGCTATCCCCACAGCTCACAGCCACCTGGAAGGCCCCAGAGCAAGCTCACCTGAATCTTTTAAGGTGCAGCCGGAGGACCTGAGGTAGTCTGTAGATCATTAACTGCTTTCTAGCTTCACTCAGAACAAGGGGTTTTGGATTGGATTTTCGTCGTTTGCCTATATGGTTTGGGAAGGTAGAAGACACAGATTGTGAGGAGTCTCATTCTTTCCTAGCTATGGCAGAGATAATGACTTGCCACTCAATATGCATTCTCCTTATCTCTCAGTATTTGAAACTCAGTTTCATTTGGGACAGCAATGTGACCCTCTGTAAGACTGCATAACCCAGCCTCCTGTCCTGCCTGGTGTGGCCACGGCAGTTCTGCCAGAGATGAAAGGGATGATTGTGTGGCACCCTTGGGATGACTGCAACTGCCCAAACTGCTCTTGGACCAACAGGTAACCTCGGGGATGGAAACCCTAGTCAAGTTGAAAGGTGGAAGGAGCTTGGGTCCCCAGTGACCATGCAGCTGCCATGCTGGCCCCTGAATATTCTTCAGACTTCTTTTTACATAACAGAAAAAAAAAAACAAAAAACAACTAAAACCTGTTTCAAGTCATTGTTTCAGTTGACTGAAAAACAAACCTAATCCTGATATATCCACTTCTAAGATTTTGCATCAGCAACCTCTAAAACTGATACAGGTTTAGGATGGTATACTCCTGATACCATATATTCATTAATGGAATATAATGGAAGGTCACTGCAACAATAGGCACACAGAGTAGATGCATATGTTGGGGTTCTATGCCTTTATATATGGGCTTATAACTTAAATTAGGATGCACCAAAATGTAATTTTTAAAGGTTTTTGTTTTCCTCAGGTAGGTCTAATTCTGTTTCCTGCTCACAGGTGGTTTTATGCCATTCAAAACTCTTATCTTCCGGGGCGCCTGGGTGGCGCAGTCGGTTAAGCGTCCAACTTCAGCCAGGTCATGATCTCGCGGTCCGTGAGTTCGAGCCCCGCGTCAGGCTCTGGGCTGATGGCTCGGAGCCTGGAGCCTGTTTCCGATTCTGTGTGTCTCCCTCTCTCTGCCCCTCCCCCGTTCATGCTCTGTCTCTCTCTGTCCCAAAAATAAATAAACGT